CATATAAAGAGGAGCACTGACTAATATGATAAGGTTGAAAATATGAATCCTGTTCGTTTTACAAAGTGAAGTAGATTGCCCCCATCGTTTCAGACTAATGAATATCTGTCTTGGTCTACCGATCGTGTCTTTAACATCATATGATAAAGCTACCTATGGAGGAAATTATTTTTTGGGATTCAGATATGCCTAAAATCTACTAACTTTAAATTTAATGGCGAAATATATATAGACAAACAGAAGGTGTAGCAGTGCTATGGACCACCAATATCCCCTATCGTAACAGATATCTTTATGGATAGTTGAGAGAACATAGCTCTTAATACATTTGATCCTACTGAAAAGATATGGTGGAGATAGGTGGATGACACTTTCAGAGTGTTAAAAACAGAACATATCTCTAGCTTCTTCACATACATAAACTCACTGGTAAAGGGAATAAAATTCACATTTGAATCGCAAAATGAACAAGGAGAATTAGCTATCATTTTAGATTGTAAAGTAAAACGAATAGCACCGGGTAAACTTCACACTAGCGTCTATAAAAAGTCAACGCATTCTAATAAATATTTAAATTTTAATTCATCTCATCTATTGTCTGTATAGGTAGGCTTAATTAAGTGTCTAACAAACTGACCAATAGCATTATGTAGTACCTAGATGATGAAATAAAATAGATAGAAGAAGCATTGTTGTTCAATGACTATCCCATAGAATTCATTAGGAAGATCAGAAAAGGTCAAACGTAAAATAAAAGGAATGGGGAAACAAATAACGGTAACACAAGAAAGAATATAAGGCATCTACACGGGGGTTTTGCCATATAAGGAGGGGACATCTGAGACCCTACTGTAGGTTAAAGGAGCGTTTTGACCTAATTCAACAAAATAATACAATTTACAAAATACCTTGCAATGACTGTGAGTTAGGACGAACCATTGGCTTTAGTCAGATTGTCTGTCAGAAAATAAGAATTTAATGAAGGTTAGAATCATTAACCCCACAAAGATGAGTAATTTACGGAAAAAGCTCAGCGATTGCAATGCATGCATTAACACACAACCATACAATAGGGTGGGACAGAGTTACAATTCTAGAAGGTAATATAGATGGGTGGAGAGAAACGTTGATTACCGAATCTCTGTTCATCGTAACTACACTCAACACGTGCTATAGAAATGACTCAGCAAAAATATCAGGAATATGGATGATATTTTACTAGGAATCAGACCATAGGATGAACAATAATGTCAAATTCTATTTATATTTCAATTTACGTTATGACACTAACATTTTATTTTACTACTGAAACATCTTATTCTTCATTTTACTGACTAACAACACTCGTTTTATCTCCTATCTTATCATATTTTGATGATAATAGCACTAATTTATTTCCGATTATACTTTATATTGTGCGTCGGTGGCACAGCGGTTAGGACGCTTTCCGACCATGCACATGGTCCGGGGTTCTATACCCGGCTGACGCACTCCTTAACCTCGCTAAGCCAGAAATAATGCTGGCAAAGAGGTGAAGCTGGGCATGGGGCTAGCAACCTTATCCTGTAAAAATAAACACTGTTACAGAAACGTCAAGCCACTAGCCTGAAGCCCTATGTTCCCTTTGGTAGGTTGGAGTGAAATCAAGACATCTAGGAATAGTTGAAGCACTGGCCATCCAAAACCTCAAGCCTATTCTATGTGTCCAAAACAAAACAAAAATTTGTAGGATGATGTTAGTTTAGCCTTTTATATGCATTTACTTTTGGTTTATAGACCCATAGTAATAGATTTTATTGATAATTTCACGATGTTTCCAGCAGGATTTATGGTCATGGTCATAAGGATTTTAATGTAACCACAGGACTTATTAATTAGCTTTACTTAGTTTAGATAGTTCGCGTGCTATGTTTATAAGGAGTGATAAATTGTGCTCCGAGTTTGATTTAGTTTTTGTGCATTTTTTCGAGTACTTATCTAATATGGGTTATTTAAAGTTGAAAAGGAGACTGTCTCTTGCAATCATATGCTGCAGGCAGCACAGTTCAAACTGAAGGTGGTACGGATGAAGGCGTCTAAGTGCATCAAGATTCGAAAGGTGACACAGGCCTTCATATTACTGTATGACTTCGCAGTGTGCCTCCAAAGCCTCAGGATGGTCGGGGGTGGGTGCCTTGCGCTGCGGGTTGGCCACCCCTCCGCACACCTCTTGAAATGCTCCCATATGACCGGGCGTCTTACATAGCCTCTCCTGAGGAAGTTCTACTCACTGCCTTCACGTGGCGGAGGTGTTTCTCACCAAAGTGAGAGGGCGAAAGCGGATGCCCGGCGCTCTCCACCGGGTTGACTGTCCATTGGATGACAGTCTAGGGGAGATGGCTAAACCCTGATTCCAAACCTCCAACGATTGGCGTATGAAGCTCACTGGAGCTCACCGGCAGACGTATGGACAAAGGGCTTGTTGGTTTTCCTGGATGTCTTGCCCCATTCAAAAAGGCGTATGAACCGAACTCAGGTCATCGGCTGCCAATGGATAGTGGACTCCTTACTCCACTCCTACTGCCTTGTAGGTCACACTTGGTTGTGTAAAGGCTAGAGCTGCACTCTCAAACAAAAGGCCGAGCGATGCTGGGGACATCACTCGTACCAAATTCCCATGAAACTTCATGAACTCTCTTACAAATTGCCGCGCCTGGGCAGCGATGGTTCGAGACGTTCATAAAGCCGGCTCATCCTCCCGTAGGAGATAGCCGAAGTAAAGTAAAGTAAGTAAGTAGTGTGGTAATCTACTCTACTCAGCATAAGGAGTAAGATCCGAGTTTTCAACGCTAATGTCAAGCCAATCAATCAGTCAGTATTTCTATGTGGCTCAGGGACTTGATGTAAACGTCTCATAAAAGTATGCTCAACAGTCTTCTGCAGAAGACTATCATCAAGAGCTACCTTATTCGTTCAATACTAAATATCAAATGGCTGACCAGAAAGGATCAGCAACAAGATAGGAAATCACCTAAAAATCTCTTACACCCAGCAGATATGCAAAATTAAGTGAAGACGACGGATTCGACATAAGCTGAGGAGTCTGTTGTGTACCATCGGATGCGCTAGCCAGGCCCTAGATTTGGACCAGAATGCATGGCTATGGGTTAGCAGCCTGACAGAGTGATCTTGTGAAAAGCAAATGAAGGTTTACGAGCAATCGTAGAGCAGAGAGTGAAATTACGGTGTATTGCTGAAGCCACTCAGACAGAACCTAGGAGAATGGTAATAAAATCAAAGAATTCAGCGAAGAAAATTCTCTTTTAGATGATCTCATTTTCATATCTGTACAACCGTACATATATATATATATATATATGTATATATGGTGTACGAGCTTGCCTTGTAACCAGAAGGTCCCGAGTTCGAAACCCGGTTGTGCGTACTGATGAAGAGCCCCAAACCAGGAGGAAACAGCTATCCAATACCTCCAGTGATTCTCTAACTGATGTCAGCTCATGATGAAATCCTGTAACTAATCAGTCAAATCCCTACAAATCAAAAGAAACTTGATGTACTACTCCCAAGGAGAACTGGTGGGTCTTTGAAAAGATCTATTTACAGAAAATTGATAAGCACAGGACAAATGACCAATTTTTGTGGTTTTCTCAATAGGGGTAGGGAAAATTTTCAGTGATGACGGTGTTGATGATGAACTCAAACAGTTGAAAGAAGCCTTAATAGATAACGAGTATCCACTACGCTTCACCGAGGCCAATGGTAAATTACGTGAAAGAAATACAGAGAGGAACAGGGTAGCTAAAACTGTTTAGCACTTAAACTTAGGATTTAAGGGTGACGGTGCGAGTGAGGCACTTAATATTCTGACAATATCACTGAGAAACATGTTCTTTGCTGCCACTTTACGAATAACCTACACTAGCCGTCAACTGGCGTACCTTGATGTTAAAGAAATTTTACCTCGATTGTCTAATTCCATGTGTGTTTATGTTCAGCTGCTCTTGTGGAGCTAGGTACATAGGACGTTCCTTGAGAAATATATCCTGATGAGTTCGAGAGCACTTCCCTGCTTGACTGAGCAAAAGAGAGTGTACAGGTATTAATTTGTCGATATTGCAACACGTTGTAGATACACAGCATTTGATAAATCTTCTAATGTAGTCTACAAAGTTTGCCGAAACGCACACAAGTGGAGTTTGCTTTGTATATCGGAGGCTTTAGCAATGTATAACAAAAAGTCAGAACTTTGTCTACAAAAACGATTTGTACGATCTATTTCGTTACCCCATGTGTTTCACAAAAAAGAAACTTTGTTACCCTTCTTTATTCCACGTTCTATTTTTGTTTTATTGTATCTCACTTTATGTTATCATATTCTAACATTTTTAAAATTTAGTCTACTATTTTGAGTGCATTTCATTCATCCTATGTCTTCATCGTATTATGTACACATCTCGGAATGTACTTTACTCTCCGATCATCTATTTCATATATGTCTATTGAACTTTAGGTTGACCTCTATTTATTTAGTTATTCATTCATGTATCTGATCAAATGTGACTCAATCATGTACTTTTTTTCCAATCCCAGTGGGTGCGTACTGCCGATGATTCCCAAATTAAGGGGATGAAACATCTGTCCAGTACTCCAGTGCTGATTTTCAATGGTTCTCTAACTGATATCAATCCTTGAACAACTCGTATTTAATTACACTCTGTTGATACTCCAACCTATTATTGAGAGCTGCTTTTATCATTTTTGATGGGAAGGTACCCTCTCTAATACTTTTCTACAGTTTTTATGCATTTTTTTCTCATAAATATATATGCAATCCATATAAAAAAATGCCTCCTTCACGTGATTGGTGCCTTCAAAGTCATTTGCTGATTGGTAGTTAGTGGTGCTTAAAGTTTAACTTCGCCAATATTTTGATTATTCTCTCTGTCCATGCAATTTTCACACTAATATCTAACAGATTTCTTCTCTCTTATATTTTACAGATATATTTGACTAATCATGTAATGTGTGTCTGTGTGCATATTTTTTAAAATCTCACCATGAATACAAAAGACAAGTGTAACAAATTAACTTGTACTTGTGATATCTGTCAATGTTTCAATATTCAATTGGACAATGAACAACAACCACAACCACAACAACAGAACAACCGTCAACCGCTAGAATTTTTCAATACAGTGTATAAACTTAACGACAGCGTAAAACTATGGAATCGATTTGAAGGCATTGTTAAATACATTGGTCATATTAATTTCACGCATGATATGACTACCGTGTTTCTTATCGGTATTGAATTGAATTCACACAGTAAGTAGGCGGTCTCATATCTGTTTTATTAGATTGTTTCGTCTTTTTCGTGTATTCTTCACACACACAGTTCCTAAAATCACGCTGAATAATTATGATTTATATTGTGATCGAATGAAGCGTATACTTGTCCCACCATCATTCTGTACACGTCTACCTCCAGGAAAACGTGGTCATCCACAGACAAAGGGATTACAAATGAATCCAAGTTATAATTTGATTAGAAAAAATCGTCAGTTATATAAAACAATGTAAGGCTGACTGTTAATGATGTCTAACTTGTTTATTAAATGACTATATACAGGGATCCATTACTGTATCGAATGATATTTGAAACGCATAAAGGCGGTGATCAGAGTCGATGATACCCCCAATCAGAAGCAGCAGATGCGAACAATCAGGTAAGCCTGCTTTAGTTGTATATAATATTAATACTGTATAACTGTTGTTGTTCGATGACTGGAGGTTATCAGCAGGAAGCTTTGAACCGTAGGCTTCTCGCTGGTTGGTACTCTTCACTTCGATAACAGCACTGAATGATGCAGGTTCGAATCTCAGATAGGAGATGAATTCTCTCCAGATTTCAGATGTGCCTTGCTGCCTGGTGTGTCTGTATGTGCCAACAAGGACGAAATCTAGGTGTAAGGCTACTTGCCGACTGCCTTGAACTAATAATTAACAATTCTGAGTGCACCGTGATGGCGATCTGTCTTGCAGATATGACCGATAGAATTCAGTATCCACAAATTTTGGAAAATTGAAGTTTAGGTAGTAGTGGTATTTATTTTTATAGGATTGAGTTGCTAGCCGCCTCATGCCCAACCTTTCCTCTTTACCAGTATAATTACTCGTTTAGCGACTTAAAGGAGTGCGTCGGTCAGGGACCGAACCCCAAATCACCTGCGTGGTCGGTGTGCATTCTACTACTGTGCCACACCGACGCACTATTATTTATACAGTTCTCCCGTGAAAGTTAATGATAAACAAACACATTAACATGGGGTGACACTAAAAAATAAGAATCAGTATGAAGAAATACATGATCTATAAGTGATGGATGAGTGTTATAATCTGTTAACGTGATAATTAGACTGAATAATATTCATCAAAGTAGTACATATTAACATATAAACTGGAGTTATTGTAGTAGAATTAATACTCTTATAAACATCTAGATCCAGACAAATAAATTTAACATGTATGAACCATACTATTATTATAACTGTTTCCTTTAATTCCTAGAGGAACATAGGGCTTCAGCCACACGTCTCCATTGCCTTCGGTTTTCCGCCAACTTTTTCACCTGGCTCCACGTCTGCCCACATGCTTTCATCTCCTTTTCACATCAGCTCCTCCATGTCACCCTAGCACTAACGACCAAATCGCCGCTTTCCGTTCGGGTTCCACTTGAGCAACAGCCTTTTGTGTGTGATATCAATTGGTGGTTTTCTCAGAGTATGGCCAATCCACCTCCATTTCTTCCTTCATTTTTGTTGGACATTTGGTTCCTTCTAGGTTGGTTCGCTCCCAGAGAGGCCTGTTGAAGCTTATACTCAACATCACTGTATCATTACGGTCTATTAAATGTCTTTACAATGTTTTTTTCCATTGCATCTTATCATTTCAACCAATGAGTAGTATATAGTCCTATGCATTTATGCTTGCTTATATGAAGTGACTAGTAGTCAAAATGTTTCATTGCAGGTAGCACTGTATCATGAGTTGTTGACAAACTATGAATTCATGGGTTAGTGAATTCGTACCCAGGTGGTTGAGTGTTCAGTGAGCTTATTTTGTTTGGTTTGATCCCTGTGGGCTTGTGTGTATGCACTCCTGAAGAGCCCCAAAATAGGATGAAACAACTAACTGTCCAGTACTCCAAGATTCGTGATGGCATTTATATTGAAATCAATCCAAAGGCCCCCCTCCAAAATAGTCGCAATCTAAATACATATCGCATATCTTAATACAGGAATCTAGAGATGAAGAAAAACCATAAGTATCATTTTAATATGAGTGTAGAACTTGGGCACTGTGGTGGTAGAATGTAATTCCAGTTTAATTGATCGTGCTGAGCTGAGTACATCGGCCGTGCCGTGTACCAACGCGCTCGTGAACACTATCCAGCCTGGCTAGTAAAAGGAAAAACGAAAACGTGCACATAGTTCAGTGACAGAACATCTGGTCAATTCAGGACATTCAGTGCCTTTCGAAAAATCCTTCAAAGTAATAAACAAGATTCAATCAAACCTATCAAAGGGAGTGAAATTAAGACATCTGGGCATAGCCGAGGCACTAGCTATCCAAAGGCTCAAACCCATGGTATGTATCCAAAAGAAATACATCCAAGCCTTGTCCCTGCCATGACCATCACATAACACAGATAATTCTTATAATAGTGACTACTTCATTGACCTTTCTTATCCTAACTTCCTGTTTATTCATGTTGTTTTCAAGTTTTTCTTAATCCCTATTTACACTACCACGTTTTCATATGCGAATTTCCTGTCTATTTTGTTATTTTATTATTTCTACATATTTAATCCCTGATCGCATAAACAATTATTCGTCACATTAGTTATGATCTCCCTAGATTTTTTTTATCCAAACATCCTGTCTATTTTGTTATTTCTACATCTCTAACCCCTAATTGCACAACAACATGTCAATCTTCTCAGTAATTATGATGCTACTTTGTTTGGGAGTTTTATCCATCCCCTGCCCCTGTTTATTATGTCATTTTAATTCCTAATTGTAATTTTATTCATATGACCCTTGACCAAAAATTATTCTGGAACTTTCCCACCCATTTGATATAAATACACGAGTGTACAGCTGTCTAGTTGACGGTGACTTCATCGAAAAGAAAATTTTCCTCTCCGCTGCAATTGTCTTCTTATTTACTCCTATGACCTAATGTGTAAATTCCATATTAGATAACTTCATTTTAAATATTACACTGTGGTGATGGAGTATTAACAACTGGGTGACAAGGTTTTTAGCATTAATTATTGCAGCTCATAAGCATATCAATTTAGTCATACGGTTTCACAATTTGTCTTATATATATTTCTTAACTCATGAAAAATTCCCATTGTAACATATAGAAAATCAAAAAAGTGATTCAGCGAAGAGACTGTTTTCAACGAATTTATCATCAAGCTGTACAGTCATATATATATATGGTTTTTAAAAATTTATATACGGTGAGGGAATAGAATGATAGGTTTTTCCAAGAGGGTGTAGAATCACTATCCCGCATGGTTACGAAGAGGTGGAAGTGGAGCGATAAGAAGCGCGATCATTGAACATTTGGTCGATAATGATCGCCAGATCTCTGTCTACAGCCTCCGCCTTTAAAGTAATCTACAAGACGAAAAGTAATTTACCCAAATCACTACGTACCCGACTGATTTGTGTTGCTGAAACTTTGGCTATCGAAACAAAAAAGTCAAATCTTTGTATACAGGCAAAGTTCGTTCAACCCCTCCAACTGTCATGGTATTAATCCCTCTACGCTAAAGTGTTGGTAATCCTTATTCATATTTTGGCTCTATCAGTTTTTCTTCATTTTTTTCATTTTGTCTATTCATTTTGCATAATCTTCCTTTATTACGTCAATTGTTGTTATTACTATTTTCACTTTGAACTGTCCCCGGCATTATTTCACCTGTTCCACTTGTCATTCTAAATCAATTCTTTTTTCACGACGTTAAATTCTATGCCATTACATTTCACACAATATTACGTAACGTTTTTTGTTTTATTAGATTTGTCTACTAATCCTATAATTCCACACACTCCACCTACCAAGTTCAATGCATCCTATGAATTATTCTATATATGACATTAATTAGCTTTGCCACTTGACATTTAACTATGATGTCAGCTCATGATTAAATCCTCCATGCAATTTAACTATGAGTATAATCACAAACATCTTAGTTTTAATTGCATTTCATACTAATATTATTATTTTATGCATTCACACCTATGATTCGATTCCCTCACCGGATACAACTTCTTATATGGAGGATTTAATCATGAGCTGACATCAGTTAGAGAACCACTGGAAAACCTGGGAGTACTGAACAGCTGTTTCGTACTAGTTTGGGACTCCTCACCAGTACGCACCCACCGGGGTTCAGACTCAGGACCTTCTGGTTACAAGGCGAGCTAGCTCGTAGACCACTGGGCCTCTGAGACCCGATCCAATGGCCCATGAATTTTAAATTCTGCCAATTCACGACATAGCGCCACCATTTCGAAATGTCTTCTTCAATGAGTTACTGCCTTATCCTCAACCCGCTGTAGCCTAATGGTCACGGCTTCCCACTAGAACGCCAGGTTAACTGCTTGAATAGGGCCAGTCGCCAGTGAGCATCAGATTAATTTTCAAGTATTGGTTTCGTAGGGATTTATTTTGTTTGATTGTATGGAGGATTTAATCATGTGCTGACATCAGTTAGAGAACCACTGGAAAACCTGGGAGTACTGGACAGCTGTTATAAACTTCTTATAAACTCTATATATACGATTGTACAGCTTGATGATAAATTCGCTGAAAGAGTTCGTTTTGAATTTTATAATTATTTGCTGTCTCTTTCTGTCTCTACAACTTCCCTTTGTTCCTTGTTACCACTTTCCATGTTTATAGTATAGGCATTGCGTCACTCAGATTGCATGTGTGTGGTCTTTAATAGATAAACAAAGCTTCAGTGATTAAGCTCTCTCTCTCTCTCTGTCTCCACCTAACTATATTACTTTTTATTTAATTCACTTTTAGAATTTCCCATCGATTGATTAAACCGAAGTTCCCGGTTTCAGATTGGTATATCGTCTCCTTGTGCAGATGCTTCGACAATATCGTCGAATTAATTAATACGACCCGTTGCATAATCGGTGGTAGCTCTTGTAGCCCGAGTGGTCTAGTGGATGACGCTTTAGCGTTTGAAACTAAAGGGACTAGGTTCGAGCCTCGGTGGGAATATCATCACTCATTACAGAATACAAGTACGTCCAGATGACGAGTACAGATAGGACGAAGTGTGTTACCCTGGAATCCATGGCTAGTCACCACCCACCAATTAACTTCTATACTACTTTCTAATGCTCTCATCCACTTCCACCCATTCTATTGTGTGATTACGTGCAAGTGCATACAGTGCAGTTCAATGGCCCGGCTTTTTTTCTAGTTAATTTGTCTAACTTAACAGAGACAATTATTCTAGATCTGCATAAAAATGTTGTATTAGTTGGTTGGAGGCAATCGTCTACAGGAAGCCTTGGACATCACCTAGGTTTCGTGTTAGTTGGCACCGAAGATAGGACTAGACACATTACACTAGTTACTGACTAGTGTGCAATCAAAAATTTCCCATACAGTCCTACAGGAGGTGAATCGCGAGTCTGAATAGCTGCTCAGTGGTTACGTCTCTGACTGCAGTACTCACTGGGTGACGCGGGTTCGAATCTCAGAAGGGATATGAGTTCCTTCGAGGTTGCAGATACGCCTTGTTGACTGACTGGTGAGCGCCAACTAGCACGAAACCTAGGTGGTGTCTAAGGCTTCCTGTGGCCGATTGCCTCCAACCATCTAATACCAACAATTCACAGTGTCCCGTAATGGTGAGCCACCTAGTGCCATGGTGGTCACATTGCATGCTTGACTGACAGAATTCAGTCTGTATCAAACAGAGTGTGGAATGAAAAATGTTGTGTGTTCCAATAATCTAGTTGATCGTGATCTAGTTTGATGGCCTATGTAATTGGTGAATTACACCAGGTTATCGTATACATTGTTCTGTTTTTTTCAGACGGACGCAGGATATAACGTGAAATACATACAAATTAACAATATTATCATCTTATCTGCTCTCAAACATCTTTCTTTCTGAACAGCTGAGAGGAACAATCTCACTTTCTGAAATTCATCTCATGGAAATGAAATAGTTATTATAATTATCGGTATATATTTGTTTATTCTTGTCGAAATTTTGAGTATGTATGGGTAGTATGTTGTGATAGTTAGTCATATTTGTTACAGAAATAAAGTTTTAATAAAAACTCCCCCTTATGACTTTTTATACTTGATGGTAAACTTTCTCGTTTAACTCTCGTTCATGAGTTTAATTCAATGGGTAGAATTTGGAATTCATGGGCGATTGGATCGGGTCCCATTGGCTGAATCGTCCACAAGCTTTTCTTGTACATCTACGATGGTTAATTGCATCAAAGATATACTAATAGACTTAACCGTAACTGACTTCAGTGACTACTGAGGGATCGACTTGTTACCACTAGGGAATAATCTCGTTGACTTAGAATATGCGGATGATATAGTCGTCCATTCTAGGTGAAAACGCAGACTTTTCTCAACATTTTGAAGAGCAGCAAACTTCGAATATTTTGCACGTGATTCGCTCATGTGAAATGTAAGATGATCCTACAGGACTGGACTGGACTGGACTATATTGACTCCTAGCTTAGAGATAATGAGTGAAGTGGCAGAGCGTGTTGAATCTGGGGGAGTCGCATCAGCCAACGCCAGCGGCTTGATCACTGACGAAGTCCCTAACACGGATACAGAAGGCTCGTTTGATATATGCCAACTCACGCCATATCTAGCCTAGTAGACGTGATATCCGGCTGTCTGGCTGTCGACCAAAGGGTGTGTGTACTGCTCAGCAGTTTGCCCCGTCCTCCTTTTTCGCTGTGAGTGAGACATGACCATTGAAAGTGGAAGACATGAATAGGCCAGTTAGCTATCTTTGATCATAGGTGTCTGCATTCTATCTTTGGTGTTAGGTTGTGGTATAATAAGGTGAGCTGTACTGAGGTTAGGTGTCGAGTGTTGCGTAAGGAGGGAAAATCAATTGATAAGGTTGTGAAATTGCACCAATTGAGGTGTTTAAGACATGCGTTACATGTTCCTAGCCATCGCCTTCCTCGACGGACGGGCAATGTTAACTGACATAGGATGGATCAAGTTGGAAACGAGCTAGCAAGTAGTGGTCAGACGGAAACATGGCTTCATTAGTCAATGAAATCCATAAAAGTTGGTTTAAGCCGGTCACGTTGGGAAGTGTAGACTTTCTGATTGGTTGGGGTCCTCAGGATGTTAAGAACCAATGAAGGCTGGAGATAACTGGTGAAATGGCTCAACATTGTTGTAAATGGTTATTGTAGATGCATTTAATCTTTTCAAGTTTTCATATCCAATGAAACTCTACTGTTCCTCCATAATACTATTCTTTTTTCCTCACGCTTCTGTATATTATCTCACTTTTAAATTTCTCTTTACTCTCTTCTCTTGCTTTGTGTGCTATATGGAGGGATAGCGGCAATTGGGCAACTGAAGCAGAACAGGCCACAGGCAAAAGAGACCTCAGGACACTGTACCAGATAACCAAGTCTCTATCCGGGAAGAGATCAACCCAAATGATGAAATCAATAAAACAAGGTGTTCAAGGGAACCTGATCATCATGGAGGAGAAACAAACCAGACAATGGGCTGATCACTTTAAAGGAATCTTGAATCGACCACCACTGGCAACTCTCCTGGAAATACCACCAACAGCGCACATGGAAATGTCAGTGGACACCACTCCTCCAACGGAAGAAGAAATCCTGAATGCTATCAAGCCATTGAAGTTCAGGAAGGCAGGAAAACCAGACGGTATTCCTCCAGAAGGACTGAAGACGGCTCTGGAGATTACAGCAGATGTTGTCACTCCATTACTGCAAACAGTTTGGAAAGAAGGAAAGGTGCCTACTGATTGGAAGAAGGGCTACCTTGTCAAACTGCCAAAGAAGGGCGACATATTTAGGCCTGTGCAAGAATTGATTGAGGTGGAATAATGCTCTTGTCCATGCCAAGTAAAATACTAAGTCGCATCATCCTGGAGAGAATAAAGGATGGACTGGATATAGAACTCGACCAGCCCGACCGGAACAAGCTGACTGGATTCAGGAGAGGGAAATCATGTGCTGATCAAATTGCAACTCTGTACATCGTCATCACAGAGGGAAGCATAGAATGGTAGTCAAGCCTCTACCTACCTCAACTTCCTTCATCGACTTCGAAAAGGCCTTCGACAAACAGCGTTGACCGATAAGTAGTTTGGAAACTGCTTCAACATAACGGAGTGCAGTGTCCAAGTCTTTATCAACCTCATTCAATAGCTGGCTATATGACAGTGCCACAATTCAAGTGATCCTAAACGGAAAACTCATCTAGGAGTAAGACAAATTGGCTGACTGTCTATTATCACCGATGGTATTCCTAATTGTGGTGGATTGAATTATGCGTCAGGCTATACATATGGAGTGTGCATACAAGAATACGCTGCACTGACGGATGAGAGAAGAGTTTAGAAGATCTGGATTTCGCGTGTGGATGATTCATGTTTAATGTCATACAAACTCGAAAACATGCAGTCAGGCGGAAACCAACAAACTGGCTGAAGAAGCAGGCAGCGAAAACAGGACTGTAGGTGAAGACAGGGAAGACGGAGTCAGGCGATGAAGATAATCAATCAACTGCAACAACTAACACCAGTCGCCATCAACAGGAGAGTTTTGACAGAGGTTTCCTCCTTCACTTATACAGCCAGGAAGCATCGTTTCAACTACGGACGGGGGAGGAACGGACAAAGATGTCAAAGTCAGAATCGGAAAGGCAAGATACGCCTTCATCAACCTGAAAGCAGTTTGGAAATCTTCTGCACTCAGCGTAGGGAAGAAGATTCTCATTTCCAACACCAATGTCTCAGTCGATCCTTCTATACGGGTCAGAAACATGGTCAGTATGTCACAAAAATGATTTCCAACAGCCTGTTGCAGATTTCATCAACAACTGCCATCGCTGGCCGGTTCCATACTGAAGATCAAATTGGCCAGAAAGGACTAGTAACAAGAAACTCTGGCTGGGAAAAAACCAACCGAGAGTCGATCGTCCAACAAATATGTAGGGGAAGATGGAGATAGATAGATCGGACACATATTGAAGAGCCCTATGTTCCAAGAGAATAATAATAATCATAGTGGCAATTGGAACTGCTGCACATCTGTGCAAAGTCCTACATTGAAACTACAACATCGTTTTGTGCTTCCATTCACTGGGAAATATAAAAACTTTCATGATAATAATGAAATTCATGGTTCCTTTAGTGTTTTTGGTTTATTTCTCAAATGGTATATAAAAATATCTAATAATAATAATAATAATAATAATAATGCTAACAAGCTTTTAATGTTTATAAGTTGTTTTTTTCCGAAGTTATCGAAACAGGATAGGTAATAAATAAGTAAATAAAGAACGGAGGAAGCGCATAATTAAGTTGAATAAAAACAATTCTTGTTCAATGTGTTCAATGCATAAAATTGAAACAAGCGTGAAATAATTTTTAGCCTGCTTTTCTGTTGTCGCTATTATTGAAAATGAATCATTTAAACTAGAGTTCAAAAGTGAGTACAAAAAATATTGATTGGTTGGTTGGCTTGGATAGGATTGGATAGTGAAAACAAAAATAGTTTAGTTAAACAAGTACATAAACATTGAAAATTGAACATATATATATATATATATATTTGCATATATAAATTTCAGTTAAAATCAAACATTATGATTCTGTTTTAGTGATACTTGTTTAAGCTTGCTTAAATTTGATTCAAGCGCTTGGAAATCGAAATTGAATATAGCTGAAATGAAGAAATAAATAATACGAACAGTTAAAATAATAAACAATTAACTATAATGGAATGGCGGTAATTTTGAATAACAAAAAAATCTATAGCACAGCCAAAGCACAGGCAATCTAAGTTGAATATGCTGGTGATATTACCCCTAGTCCGTGCGACGTGTACTACTTATGAGGATTCACATAACTAGTATAAATTTAGTGTCACTTGGAGAAATAATAGAAAAGTTATCAAATGCTTGTTATGTTGGGATTTGATTGGTTTCATGTGAGATTAAGAATTGACTGACATCAGTTAGAGAAGCATTCAAAACCACCAGCCCGAAGTGGTGAGATGTTTCCGCCTAGTTTGGGTCTTTTCAGTAGTATACACCCATCAACACTGTCCCTTGAAAGTCAAATTCAGGAATTTCAAGTTACGACATTACCCCAATGATCATTCAGGCACTGGGATGACATCCAACAGCCAGCCCATGAATTCTAACTTCTGACAATTGACGATATTCATGTATGGTGTCACAGCCAGCCCAGTATTATCGGCGAGTATCTACCTCAAGAAAAAGAATAGGTAATACTAAGAGGTATCGATTGTATGGAAGGTTTCATCATGAGCTGACATCAGTTAGAGAATCACTGGAAAACCGACTGTGACTACTGGACAGTAAGAACAGCAATCGTTTCTGCAGAATAAGATGGTACTATCATTAATTTTTGCTGACTTCTCATCAGCTGCTGCTTACATCCTAAATAAATTATTATTATTAAGTTCATGTACAGTAAAGTTTTAACATACTTGCAAATTTTTGCATGATGTCAGTTACTAGGAGGTTCTGGACTTAGTGAACACTGTTGAGAAAATCACTTTTATATTATTCCTTCACAGGGAGTTCAAATTTAAACAAAGTAAATGTACACATAGAATGGTAAAGGAGTTACGTAATAAAGGCAAGAAGTGCATAAGATGATGAATTGCTAATAAGTTGAGTGACAATGTACTGAGTTCAACTGAAATCGTAGAAACAAGGGACAAGCGAAATTTCACTATATCAAAGGAGGTGGGGAGGAGTTAAAGCCAAAAATTACGTAACCAAACGGGAGGTGGGGGGGGAATAAAGACATCCAGTTACCAGGTGGGCAAGGGAAGACTGATGATAACTGTTTCTTTCTGAACACAAATCGAGTTTCAGGCGTTTCATAACGCGATTGAACTTAATAATAACAGTTTATTTAGGCTGTAAGCAGCAGCTAATGAGATGTCATCCAAGTGGACAATGATGGTACCATATTATTCTGCAAAAACCACACTGTTGTTCTTGCCTTATTCAAATATATGAAAAAATTCACAATTGTCTATAACAAACACTGTTAATCAAAAATTCACCATCAAGCGCAGTTAGTGTTATCATCGTTGTTAGCTTAGATGAAAAGCCATGGAAAGCAGAAGGCATTTTTATCAGGTGTGTGTGTCATCCATGTTTGCATTCTGAGGTGATTAGCGTGCTGTCAAACTTAAAGTTATTGATAGAATTAGAACATACACAGAGACACACAAATTTGGCTCAGTATTATATAGCTCGTTTGTTTTTTGGTGTATAGTTACGCACAAGGATAGGAAAGTATTCAAATATAAATGAGAAGATAAAAAAATAAAATAAATAAAAAAAATAAGAAAAAAATAAATAAGAAGATTTCCGAACAAGTCTAATCCGTTCCAAAGAAAATACTTCTGCTTAATTTAGAATTTAAAGGTGACATCGAAGCAGAAATCCTTCGCAAACGCCTCTCCAAATCGCTGAGGAAAACATACTTCGCCGTGAGCCTACGACTGACGTTCTCCTGCAAAAAAAGTTTTCGGCCAGAACGCGAAAGACAAGATGTCGCATTGGGTCACCTCAATGTGCATATACCAGTTTACTTGCTTTTGTGGAGCTGAGTACATCAGCAGTAACATACGCCAACTTGAAAAACGCACTCGTGAACACTATCCAGCCTGGCTAGTTAAAAGGAAAAACGAAAACGCGCACATAGTTCAGTGACAGAACATCTGGTCAATTCAGGACATTCAGCGCCTTTCGAAAAATCCTTTAAAGTAATAAACAAGATTCAATCAAACCTATCAAAGGGATTGAAATTAAGACATCTGGGCATAGCCGAGGCACTAGCTATCCAAAGGCTCAAACCCATGGTATGTATCCAAAAGAAATACATCCAAGCCTTGTCACTGCCATGGCCATCACAAACAGGTAATTTTTTCTTAGTAATGACCATCCTATCGCCTTTTTTATATAAACTTCCTGTTTATTCATGTTATTTTTAAGTTTTCTTAATCCCTGTTTACACTACCATATTTTCATATCCGAACATCGTGTTTATTTCGTCATTTTATTATTTCTACATATTTAAACAATTATTCGTCACATTAGTTATGATCTCCCTAGATATTTTTTATCCAAACATCCTGTCTATTTTGTTATTTCTACATCTCTAACCCCTAATTGCACAACAACATGTCAATCTTCTCAGTAATTATGATGCTACTTTGTTTGGGAGTTTTATCCGTCCCCCTGCCTTGTTTATTATGGCAATTTAATTCCTAATTGTAATTTTATTAATATGACCCTTGACCAAAAATTATTCTGGAACTTTCCCACCCATTTGATATAAATACACGAGTGTACAGCTGTCTAGTTGACGGTGACTTCGTCGAAAAGAAAATTTTCTTCACTGCAACTGTCTTCTTAACAACTCCTATGACCCAACCTGTATATTCCGTGAAATATAAATAAATAAAAATGATCAGAAGAATATTTCCAAATCACATTAGGAGTTATGTCTTCTACCATATTTTATCAGGAGGGATGACTGTTAGCTCTAGTTAGGTTTGATGTTGTTTCTTGGGTCGTATCGTTAATTAATATCATATATATATATATATATATATATATATATATATAGAACAATTCATAGGATGTATAGAACTTGGAAGGGGTGTGAAATTATAGGATTAGTAGGCGAAGAGAATAAAACTAAAAAACGTTACGTAACGTTGAGTGAAATTTGATAATAGAATTTAAGGTTGCAAAACTCATCGAAGAAGACAGTACAAAATGGTCACGTTATGTCGTGAATTGGCAGAAGTTGTAATTCATGGGTTGTCCAGTGGATCGGATCCGGTGGCTCAATTGTCTACGAGCTAACTCGCCTTGTAATCAGAAGGTACTGGGTTCGCACCTCGGTAGGTGTGTACTGTGAAGAGTCCCAAACAAGGACGTAGGAAACAGTTGTCCAGTACTTTCAATTGGTTTCCCATTGGTTCTCTAACTGATGTCGGCTCATGATGAAACCCTCCATGCAATCAAACAAAATCCCTTTACAAAAACAATGCTTGAAAACAAAATTGATTTAGAATAACAAGTGAAACGAGTGAAATTATACCGCGTACAATTCAAAATGAGAATATTAATAACACCCGTTGACGTAATAAAAGAAGAGTATACAAACTGAGTAGACAAAATGAAAAAAAAGTAGTTGGAGCCAAAATATGAAATGGCGATCACCATACTTTAGCATAGAGTGGTGAAGACCACGTAAGTTGGAGGAGTCAGGAGAACTTTTTCTGTATACAGAAATTTGGTTTTTCCATTTCAATGACCAGAGCCTCAGCAATACAGGTGAGTTGTATACGTAATGATTCAGGCAAATTACTTTCCACCTTATAGATGACTTCAAAGACTGTGGCTGTAGAGATAGGATGATCATTATCGACCAGATGTTCAATGATCATGCTTCCTATTACTCCACTTCCATATCTTCGTAACCAAAAATGCTGCATAGTGTTATTACACCCTCTTGGATAAAAAACTCTAGTTGAACAACCGATATACCTAGCTCTACACGAGCTAGTGAATTGATAAACGCACATAGAATTGGTCAAGGGAAGGGTCTGGACCTTCTGGACCTTATCGAACAGTAATGGCGGACTGGAAGACGCTACTGTCAACAATGCAGCAGGGAATGTCGTTTTCATTCTGGGACTGTGAGATCCTTCTTTTAATGATATCGGAAGCTAAGTCACCTTTGGATACCAAGTGCCATGTACAGTGATTTCGTGGTTAAAGACGTTAAGTCACATTTCATAGATTTTGACTGTATATTCTTGTCTATAAAACGTGGCAGAAATCCCTTTTCGATTAGGATTTTTCCTGAGAGATTTAACTCTTCCTCCATATTATAAGGACTACATATGCGCTGAATGCGAGTGGTAAATGACCGGATCAGGTTTATTTGTCGACCACTGGGTACGCAGTTGCAGAAATTTGACGATTCCATGACAGCTTTCGATAAATCGATCTCTTCAGGCTTCCATCGGTCCTCCTTGATAAGCTCATATCGAGGACATGAATACTAGACTCGCTGTCCATTCCCAGTATGAATTTTATTCTATAGATATGACATTAATTGCTTACCACTTCACATTTAACTACGATTATAATTACAAACGCTTTAATTGCACTTCAAATAGTGTTACTAGTAATTTGCGAGTAGTTTCCATCATAATTGTATATATCTGTGGTGAGAGCTGCCTGTTAGCCAAAATTGGTGGACAGCAATTTACGTCAGTGTTCATGTCCTCAATATTGGTCGTGAGAAAAATGAGAAGAAAGGCTTCGCGTAGGCGGACACAGTTAACATATAGATTATCTGATATTCAAGAAACAGTCACACAGAGATGCAAGGTTAACTTTCTGTGAAAAACAACCAATCAGAAGACTGTGTTTTTCTGCTAACAATAATCTATAATTATGTACATGAAAATCTATAAATATGTGTTGATTTCTTTAATAGACGATCTGTTGTCTGGCCTTTGTCTTCTGCTGATACAATTGGTGTCGCTGCCTACGGATAAAATGGGAAGCCTATGCCCTGCAGTTTTTGATGGAGACATATGCATCTTCGGGCAGGACTTCGAGGCTTCTGCGCAATTAAGTGGCTTTCAAGATT